GTATACATGTTGTAATAGTTTACAAGACACATTTCCGAACTATGCCTTTCCCGGTGCTAACCCCCCCTCCCCTCCCCTGCTCTTCAAAGAACAGAGTTCCAGGTTAAGATGTTAACGTCTCTTTGGTAGTTTTAGCACCTCCAACATTTTTTTCCCTAGCAAGTTGTAGCCATGATAAGCTGATTTTCTTGGTGTACTGAATGTGAACTGGAAGGCAGCCATTTTTACTCACTACAAAAAAAAAAATGTCCTCCTCCTCCCTTCATTTCTAAAACGCTGTGCTCTCTTTTTTCCTCCACTACACGCCAGTTACTGGAGTCTTTTGCCAGGCGAAATCTGCGATGACACTTTCCTGTCCAGGAGAACCCTTCTGCTGCTACTGCTACACAAACACACATTTCGCTCCCCTTCAGCGCTGAGTCACAGTTATGTTTACTACAGCCTCTAACAATATGTTGCATTGGATACTTTCTCATTTGCTTTTTCAATCTCCACTTTCTCTGATCTCCTTTATGTGGAATCTCCCTTATGTGCCACATACTCTCCTATCAAATTTTTAAATGCTTTACAGCTTTTTAGTTTTACATTTTTCTTTTGCAACCGCAAACTAAAAGGCATGATAGAAGATTTTACTCAGAAATTAAAGGTGTGGAGAATTTTTGCATTTTTTTTTTAAAGGCCTTCTCTCTCCACTTAAAAAAAATAGCTCTCTGCGCAAATCAATCCCAGATATATCTGTCTCTTCTGAGGCCTTTATTTTCTTCTCATACAATTCATAGACATTTTTTCTTTTACGACCCTCGGGCCATTTTCAAAGAACCGCGGGAAGAAAGGTGAGCTTCAATGACTGTCTGAAACCGTAGCTCACCACACATATGCAGCTGAAAATGCAAATGCCCAGAAAAAGATAAAAGATAGCTAACTGTCGAAGCATATCGGACAGCCTTATGTAAACACATCACCAGAATGATTGACAATTATATTAAGCGTCGAAATTCATCTAAAATAACTTAATTGATGGATGGTATTATTGCACTTGTGGTCCTACTAATTGTTTTTCAATCAAACATTTTGTGTTTTGCCTACGCTGTTAGGCTAGTGTTCAGACATTATGTTGCAGCACGAAGCAGTGCTCATACACTGGTTTGCTGCTGGAGCTTTTTTTTTAGCTACGGTATTTGTTCAGTCTTTAGTGTAAACTCAAGCATCAATAGCTGAAAAGAATCCTGACCAACCTAACCAGAATAGAAAGCTTTTTACAATGTAGTTGAAAAGAGGAGAGCAAGTGGGAGAGAAAGGACCCAGCTAAGTAAGTCCCAAATTTGGATTTGCAGTAAATATAACGCCGGTGGAGACCTCTTCTTCTTATGGAGATGTCCTGCTGACTTATTGAATTTTGGCACTTTGCTGCCTCTCATGGTGAAATTTCCGGCGGGGGGGTTTCCAGCATAGAGAGCTTTTGCAAAGTAAATGGTAAATGGCCTTTTTCAAGTCAGGAGACTTGATCAAAGCACTTTACACTACATTCAATCATTAACCCATTCACACACACACACTCACTGACAGAAGCGGGGCTGCCGTACACTGGCACCCCCGGGCCCTCTGACCACCATCAGTAGACAATGCGGGTGAAGTGTCTTGCCCAAGGACACAATGACAATGAAAGTCAGAGCCGGCTTGAACCATCAATCCTTCGATTGACGGTTCCTACATCCAACATCCATGTTTTACAGTTGTGTAACAAAATTACAAATAAATCTAAGTCTAAGTCTAGTCTAATTTTCATTTGCACAAAAAAAAAAGAAAAAAGCAAATAGATATTTTACTTCAGGGTTGTTTTCATGACCTTGAAAGCTTGCTTGTCCAGAAACCATTGTCGCAGTACCTTACTGTTACTGCTGTGAGGAAAGTGCTCACTTTTACTCATATACATGGATCTCCGAGCTACCGGCAACTGTATTGTATATTAATGGCACCTAAAGGGCTGGTGTGACAAACTCAGTGTTTTACTTTGGCGACCGAAATTGAGTTCCACTAAAATTGGAAATTAGTGTTTCGTTAGATTGTGATAATATTGAAAATGCAATTACATGCCCAGCCCTACCCTAGAGGGAAACATGGTGGTGATAACATTCCCTGGATTTTGATGATGAACAGGGAAGTTGGGAAGATAAAAAGGAGCCAGAATCATGGCAATACTTGAAGAAAACATGTTGAAGGGCACAACAGACTTGAGACTGGAATGGAATCTGACCTTCCAGCAGGAAAATTACAGTAAACACACACTGTTAAAACACAGACGACCTAGTCAAAGTCTAGACCTGAATCTACAAGAGAATATGTGGCCAATTAAAAAAAACTTATGGGCGCAACATCTTCTTGAGGCCTTCTATGGTTTTCTGAAGATCTGGAGAAGAAATGAATTTGAATGGAAGGCTTGGTGATATCACATCTAGGATTATCTAAGCTAGCAACATAGAAAATCTTGTTTGTAGCAGCATTCAGAAACCTCCTCTACCATTAGCCATCAGGATTGTGGAGACACTATTTGGCACCTATATAGTAAATATGCAGACATATTTTATTCAGGTTCAAGAAAAAGCTCCAATTGCCATTCAATTAGAGCTCCAGCTAATCATTCACATAGTTTAATCACTAATAGCCTAGCCTACTACTCTCTTTGGCCTGTAACAGTTACAGCATCAAAACAAAGCTTTACATTATCAAAAAAAACTATCAACTGTGAAAGTGATATATCCTGAAACTGATAACCTTCTTTCAGAAACAACATCACAGTGTAAGCCTACCTGATGTAAAGGGAAGAATTTTGAGTTTAGCAGAAGCAATGAGCAGATAAGTCCTCTAGTTGTTATTCTTGCCTTGGGGCAAATACACCTGATGCATGCACCTTGTCTGACTGGTACATGCATCAGGTGTGCAGAGTTGTTGTTTTTATTTGTCATCTTCTGAATGGTATTGGAAGTGGAAAGGGCTTTGTAATTAATGAAAACTAGTCTCTTCTTGCAGAATCTTTGGCTCTTATTCTTTCAGGAGGAGCTTAGAAAGCCAGTTCCAGGCAGTTAGTCATATTTTCAGCAGGGTTTGGTCCCTGGGTACAAAAAGAGTAGTCTGTATATTACTTTGAAACCAAAGTTCCTTTTAAGATGCAGTTTTTCTTCGACCAGCAAGACTAATACATTCAAACACAAATCCTATTCAATGCAGCTTTAAAGCTTTGGAAAAAAGAACACTAAATTTTATACTTATTATCAGACTCTGTTGTTCTCAGACTCTCAGACTGTAGTCCACTTGTTTTTTTTCCCCATGGCTAGACCTTAAAACAATATCTACTATCTTCAGCTCTGATGATGTTTAATCACTCAGTTTTAACACTTCAAATGTTATTCATATGTTTTCTGATGCCTCCTCAAAGAGACTCAGTGTATTATAGTGGTAAGTATTGAACAAGTGCATTTTCTGAAAATATGTACAGTAATGCAAACCTCATTAGCTGCACCTTGTATTGCTTTCAGACATTATGTTTTGAAGCTTTGTGCAGGTCCCACAAAAGCAATTACCAACTTTATAAAAAGGCTTTATGACTAATTCCTAAGTCCTGGTGAAGATTCTCAGTCATCCAGGTCATAGTCATTCCAAAAAAGTTAATTGTGGAGTGTTTTAACTTTTTTGGAATAACTTGTTCCTAAATACTGATTTTATTTTCATATTAAATATTTAACTTACAAATGTTTATAAAATTGGAATCAAGTATTCTCAAATCTGGGTGCTAAAGTAGCTTAATGCCAGTTTTACTGCAGGGTTTATTAAAACTAATGGTTTAAAAGGCTAATCTGAAACTTTCAATGAGCTAATAGAAAATTATGAGTTGTATGTTTCATCCCATGAGGCACATAGACCTGCTTTAAGTCAGTGCAGTGATGAATCTGCTTTGATACGAATTAAAATGGAAGATTTGTCCTTGTGTCTTTATTGCATCAGATCATTTTTAGATGCTGAACTAAAGACGATCAAATTGATTCATTCCAATATAAAGTGAAATACTCCTTTATCATACATTGCTGGAGTTAAAGCCTCAAATCAGACACTAACTTCTGACATATTTTCCCACATAGTTTAGATTTTGCATAACATTGAGACACCATTTATCAATTGCTTGAACATTAAAGGTACCAACAAAAACCTGGTGCCAAATACTGATCAAATACAGATGGAGAGCCTTGCTGATCATATTAAAACTAGTAGCTGAGCAATGATTTCTATTGCACCCAAAGGTCACACATAAAGATTCATCCTTACAGGATTTTTTTAATACATCTATAACACCAACATTCTCACTGGGCTTCTAAAGGATCAGCATTGATCCATCCTATTACTCTTAGTTATGCCCCGTCGTTTCATTTTACTGTTTGGTCATACGGAAAAGCTTTTTCATCTCTGCTCAGGCACCTGAGAGGTTAGGAATTAGATTTGGCTCAAAAGGCATTGCAACACTCATCAAAAGAAATACACTGGAAATACCTGATTATTTAAAAACCTTCCAGAGAATCAACAGATCTAATCATGCTTTATAATTATATGTTCTTGCCTGGAGGCGCAATTTAGCTTTTGAAACTGTTGGAACAAATGTTTAAGTTGGATAAGGATGTAAAAAGTCTGGAGTCTTTGTTTTATAAAGTTAAACTTTACTGTGGCTGGAAAGATTGGACTGTAAAGAGCGAAATAATAAGAAACTTGTTAAACTTTAGGAATAAAGGATAAACTACTCTTTTATGCTGCCACACACTTTAGTTAAATCATTCATTTGAATGCTGAAAGGAAAAGACTGTGGTTTAAATTGATAATCCACTGAGTTGTTTAACGACACTATGCTTTCTTCCTCCCACACATTTCATTCCACTCCCCTTCATTATTTATTTATTTTTTGCTCATCTCCACTCCCTTTCAATACTTCATCCATAACCTTCGATCACCACTCGCAGAAAAACCGTAGGGACACCTGTAACTTCGACAAGGAGTTCACCAAGATGGCTACGGACCTGACGCCGACGGACAAGCTTGTCATCATGAACCTGGACCAGGACGAGTTCCTCGGCTTCTCTTTCACCAACCCCGAATATGTGGCACCTCCTAATTAATGCAATATAAGGACCTGAACATGCAACAACGAGAGTTAGAAAATAAGGTTTAGTATAAAACTGAGGCACAAAACCCTACAAAATTGCTGTTATATTGTGTTCACCAAATGTTTGTTTCTCTTTTAGATGTTTTAGGTTTGTCTAAATAACTAATCCCAAAGATTTGGAAGCAGTAGATTATGAGATCTGTTTTTTCCTAAGAAAATTTGTGGAAAATAATTATCAAACCCAGTATGACCTGACTGACTACTAATCAAGTTCTGAGTGCTACCTTTTGAAATATTAATTTTACTCTTTCAAGAGAAATGCAGTTTAAATGGCAACTACATATTTTAAAGGTATGTCTTTTTAAATATCATAACTGGCCTCAACGTTTTCCATAGTTTTGAGTCCTTGAATGCAATCTTTTGTTTGTTCTTAAAGTTAAAAAGAACAATTCAAAGCACCGATCTTATTCATCTGTTTTCACTTTTTTCATTTGTTTCATTTGTTATAACAGCATTAATGATGTGCCATGATTTCATGGTAGCTATGTAAAGTTTTGTATGTTTTTCATCTCTTTGTAGGAATAAGAGAAAAGTAGTAGACTTTATAACTACTAAAACATACTTCCATATTTTTAGAATCAATGCTGATGGTCTTTTTGCTCCCATTCAATGAAGAAGAGAATGAGACCCAGATAGACACCATGGGTGGTACTTTGACCCTTTCTCTGTGTGCATGAGTCTCACTGTAAACATTTCACAAAAACTATCGGAGTGGAGGATGTCTGATGAGAAGGTCTCTCTAAACCTTTTTCATATTTTCTCATATAATCACGTATTGCATTCTCTACACATGATTTTAAAGCTGTGTCCTTTTTTACTGGATCCCTTTTTTTACTTTGGCACAAAGTAATGTTGTATGAGACCACACCAACCGAGACCAAGGAGAACCAAGACCACGACAAGACCAAAACCAAAACCTTTAGAGACCAAGACCAAGATTAAGACCTTTAGAGGCAAAGACCAAGACCTTTAGAGGCCAAGACAAGATCAAGACCTTTAGGGGCAGAGATCAAGACAAAGACCTTATATGGTCTTGGCCTGTAAAAGTCTTCGCCTTGTCTTGGTCCTGGCCTTTAAAGGTCTTTGTCTTGTCTTGGGCTCTGCCATGAAATGTCTTGGCCTTGTATTGGTCTTAGCCTCTAAAGATTTTGTCTTGGTCTTGGTCTCAAAGGGTCTTGGCCTTGTTTTGATCTTGTCTCAGTACTCCTTGGTCTCAGTTGATGTGGTCTTGACTACAACAGGTCTGACACTAAGATTAGAATGAACTGGAAGTTTGAGCAATACAGCAGACAGTGAAGCAGCTGCACACATGCACATAAGCAGCCACAGGAGCACAAGTGATCTGCTTTTACAGCACCCAGGTGAGAGATTTTACCGACAGCAATAAGAGCAGGGATTTGGACATTTTTTTTCCATTTTGTGATACATTTTAGGACATCTGTATTGATTTTATTTATTTTTTTTCTGTGTGTGTAAGCATATTGTGCCTTGCAAAAGTATTCCTAACCCTTAAGATGTTTTACATTTCAGTGTGTTAAAACCACACATTTCAATGTATTTTATCAGGAATTTATGTGCCGAAATAACTCAAAGAAGTGTTTGATCATTAAGTGGAAGGAAATCTGTTTACAAATAATAATCTGAAAAGTGCTAAAGGTTTTTTTTCAGCCCCAAGAAATTTCAATTTAGTTAGAGATAGATTCTGCTGCAACTGCAGCTGTTACTATTATTGTCTGTATGAGCATATGTGGTAGCTTATTTTCCTCTTTAAAAAGTCAAGCTTGCTCTGTTTGAATGCAGAGTATCTGTAAAGATCTCTTTTTAGAGGCTGCTTCAGTTTTTTCAATTTGATCTAGGCATGCACTGGGCTAATCAGACACTTATGTTTCATTCAAACCATGTTTTGGGGTTGCTATCCTACTTTGAGTCTAAGCTATCCCCCACTATCACTAGCTTTTTGCATCTTCTAGAAGGAATTTTTACCAGATATTAAGATTCTTCTTTATATAGTTCCTCCATTTCCCATGGAGCTTGCATGCATAATGCTGCCATCACCATGTTTCACTATGGGAATGGTCTGTTTCTGCCAGTCAGTCAAAAAAATCAATTTTTGCATCATACCACAAAAGCACATTACTCTACAACTGCATGCCTTAGATTGATTGTGACAAATTGCAAACCACACATATTATGGCTATAATCATTTCACTGTACCATAAATGAGGCCATCAGAGAGCAGACTGAGCGCAAATTCAGTCAGAAGATCTCTGAAGGCAATTGGTTGCCCTGGATTTCATGTAGGGTAATCACTTTACATTCAAATGCTATCATACTGTTCAGATATTGTTTTTTTTTTTATTATTATTATTAAAACCTCAGGCAATCGTATTGTTTTTCTTCAACTTTACAGTTATGCACACCTTTGTGTTGACACATAAAATCCAATTAAAATACATGTAAGGTACCATTTCCCCATTGACTGCCAATCTGCTTGAATGTGTTAAAAGAACAAACATCTGTGTGAGAGGGGGTAGTAAAGAAGACATTTTACATTGTAACATCTAACAAACTAATAGAGCAAAACAAACTTAGAGTCTGATTCTAGACTGATGTATGTGTTTGTAATGGCAGAGCCCTATAAAATGTTTGTGGAGGCATATACTGTAGGTCCACTGTTCAAAACAAGATATTTTTATAATTCAGCATAAAATGTATCCCGATGTGTGTTTGTTATAAAGACCATGAGCTTTTATTGTACATATTTGTACATATAGCTTCTTAGTGTTTTATCGTTGGGGAGATTGAAGTCTGCTTTTGTTTTGCTTGGATGTTGTAACTGTAAAATACTGTCAGATATGTGCAGTGACCTGTTACAAGTATAAGACTGTGGATTTCATTCTGGTAAAGAGCGTAAATATCTACTGACATCAAGACCCTGAAGCACCTTTTAGTAAAATCTCTACCGCCTATGTCTTCATGTAATCAGCTCAGTGAACTCAAATATGTTAAGTACTAAACAAATCACTGCTTTGTGCTGATTTCTTTAACAAAAATAAAACACTGAACCTTATTTTTTTTCACTAAACAAACAACAAAGCAAGTCTGAATCAGAAACCTTATGGGAAACAATTAACCAGTACATGGTTATGTTCGATTATAACAATATACTATGCATGCACGTGATAATCTCTCTCATATCTTGTTCCATATGATATAAATTTATTCTTTGTTAGGTGTAGGTGTGCAATAATTGCTTTCTTAGTCATGAATAGATATAATTTGTGTGGCTTAATCTATGATTATGATTATTATGCTACTTATTCAAAAACATAAAAAGGACTATGCCCTGCTTAATATGTAAATATAATCTGCTTCTAAATGCATAGGAGGAAGAGTCTTCCATTTCTTCATGTCTGTTCTTTTGCAGGAGAACAGACTTGTTTAGGAGTAAAAAGGGTATGTTTATTTAGAATATGTGTTTAATTTCCAACCACAGACTATCTGTGTTGATTGTTTTGCTCTGCAGTTGTACTCTGTTCCTTATTCTCCTCATTTTCTTTCCCTGATCATACCTTTTAATCTTTACTTTTTTTTAACCTTTCTTATTCCTCCTTCCTTTTCTTCCAGCTTTTTTTTTCTGTCTCCTCCCATATTTGTCTTTCTTGACCTTTTTTCCCTGTCTGTAAGTTTTTTTTTTCTGTTGATTTCTTCTTTTCTCCTAGTTTTAACCCATACTGTTAAATCACTCTCGTTTCCTCTCATGTGAATTGCAGTCGAATCAAGGCTTCTCACTGCTAAAATTAACATCAGATTAGGTATAGCTAAATTGATGGCCATATTTTCATTTCTGCTTTGATTCACATCAAGACTGCACTCCTAGCAGCATTTAATTTTCTGCACCTGAAGATGACCTTTAGTTTTTCAGGGGTGACACTTTAAGAGAAGGTGTTTTGTGAAACAATTAAATGATAGGAAATGTGTATTGTCATGTTCTGGAGGGTTGCAAATTAATAAATCACATTTAAAACAATTAATTAACTATGTTCTTGTCATTTTTTATTGTATTGAGATATATATTCAAGTATTATTTTGTTTATCATCTTCCTTTTTATTATTTGTTGAAGTGAAAAAAATTGATGGAGTTATCAGCCACAGATCTAAACAAAAACAATACAAGTAAAAAGATATGGCAGCTCTCGCGTTCTTAAAGCATGGCGAAAAGTTGAAGCTTCCGGTAGGTTAAACCAATCATCCTTGGTAAGCCATAAAAAAAATAGCCAAAAATTCCTGTGAGAGGTTTAGATTAGCTGATCACATGGTTATTTATGTATGTCCTGGTTTTTAAAAATGCATTTGAGCTTTAACTTGGTAAAGTTACAAATTATTGTTGACTTTCTCCAATTAAATATCACAAAGCAGGCTGGAATATATAGATTTATATACATACTTTATACATTTATTCAATCTCTGTCACTTAGGAGGCAGGCTTTATAAGCAAAAGAGTAAGCATCTCCATGAAGGAAGGAGATTTTACAGTTTGTTGGTATAAAGCATATAGGTGAGTCTAAAAACCAGACCAAGAACCAATGAAATCAGCAAGAGAGAAGCATTTGTTGCTACTCAACCATCTGGGATTGGGTTTGCTTTTACAAACTGTTAGTAGTCTATCATTCTTTATTGAGGAAGCTCACGTACAAATAATACAAATTTAAAATAACCGCCATTCTTCGCTAGAGTAATTATCTGCATCCTGTGCAATGCTGGAGAAAACATCTTTCTTACGTTTGATTTGATTTGTTTGAATTTTATGAGGTAAAAGCAAAACGCATGAAAACGGCAAAAAACAAGAAGAAATTTTTTTTTAAAGACGACACTTCTATCTCTAAAAAGAAGATTGTAGAAGCAGTTTGTTTTGCAGTTACCTTTGGATATATCAGAAAACTTCTGTAACAAGATTAATGTTTGATGTTTGGACATGATGCACAGCCACGTTATTTTTGAAATCTCCAAACACAAAAAAATATATATCCCATGTCTGATGCATGGTAGGGGAGGGGTGATGATTTGGATTTGTTTACCGCCATTGGAACAGGCACTTCTTAAAACCTTGAACCCTAAACATAACCATGTTTTTTTATAGAAAAAAAGCACTTTTGTTAAGAGGAAATGAAGGTTAGTTTAAAGGTTTTACAAAGTCTCCTTGTTCAATTGAATAATATTGAATAATAATAATAATATAAGACAAATATGTTTTCATAGTTTTACAGTTGTTAACTCTCCATTCCATTGTGAAACAGGTAAATCTAAAATATTGTTATTTTCGAAAAAATTATGGTTAAATCTCAACTTTTGTTCATATCTCCATCGAGCCAAATACTATAACTTTAGCTTTCCAGTTAAAAAGAAAAAAACTTGCCTGAATGATTTATTTAAACTTACACTTCTCACCTATATACTGTACTCTAGGGATGAGTATTGGCATGGATGTTGCGATACTATACATATCACGATACTTGGGTCACAATACAATATTATGACAATATTACAATATCACTATAGATTACGATATTTTCCTCAGCTATCAAAATTGAATTTATAGATTTAAAAAAAAAGGGCTGTTTAAGTTCATCAGAAGATATTGATCATTTAGTTAATTTGGTATCAATGTTGTTTGGGGTTTGAGTCGGTCCATGTCACCAACTGTCACTGGCGCTATCTGTCAGAGTGGCAGTGCAGAGGTAGCTAATTTTCCCTCATCGTTTTAGGTATAAAAAAAAAAAAATGTTTTTTTAAATCGATATTAGGATCTGAAAGATCCATATTATATCGGGCACCTGAAAATCAGGATATATGGCCAAAACTATTTTTTTCTCAGTCCCCTACACATTGTAAAACTGAATGTATGCACAGATTATGATTATGATTCTAGTTCCTTAAGTTGTTTTATGTGTTGTTATGTGTCTGCAATGAACGTAGAGACACAAATAAGAGAAACAAGTTTTTTATACTAAAGAAAGAAGTGTCCTGCTGTTGTTCCTGAACTAAACAACAGCATACTGCAGCAACGCACATGGAAGAAAAGCAAAAGAAGCTCTAATATATTTCATTCACGGCATCTTAAAAGCGCTCAAGAGAGGAGCATGACAGTGGAGCTTATTGGATTTATTTCACACCATCTTATTTACTTGCCCTTTTCCCTTTGCTATCTCTCTCTGCGACTTGTGCAGCACCACTGACGCTGCCATTAAGCAAACATATTAGAAACACTTTCTTTCAATTGAATGTGTTCGTTCACCTCGCTAAGCCAGCCACACTGGGTTTCATTCAATTACAGCCACAAAAAAAGTTTCAAACATTAAAGGTCATTATGTCCAGTTCTCTCGCTTTACTCTTGTTTTAAATCTTATTTTAATGACAACATGTCTTATATTCTGTCCTTGGTGACTTTCTTTCGACCTTTTTGAAAGGTATTATAAACTTTTGTAAAAATAAAATCTTTTTATCATCATTATTCTTTTTTCAAGCTGTAATTCTTGCTCTTTAGCATCTTTTTTCCTTTTACAACCACAAACTGCAGTGGATGTCTAAGTAGCAGCTCTATCTGTAGTCGTCCATACATGTAAAGTGGAAGGAAAATTATGTATTTTTTTCTAATTTTTCATTACATTCTGAAAAGTTTGGTTTGGTTTGATATTTTTATTCTTTTTTACGCTATTGTACCTAAAAAGACAGCTTTTTAAAATGTTTTCATATTCCACCTAATAATTAAAGAGTCAACCCCAAACACAGCCTTCCCAGGGTAAAACATGGTGGTGATGATATCATGCTGTGGAAATTCTGACAATGTTGAAATAAAACCTGTTGGAGGCCGCAAAATGTTTTGATTTTTGAGGTTCCAACAGCTTAGACCTAAGACATTAAGATAGAGCTAAAAAGTTCAAACTATAGATAGGAGACATTTCAAGAAAAACACCCCGTGACGAAAGTACAACTTAATGGAAGGAAAAGGAGGGCTAAGCTATGTGTTATTAAACTCCTTTCATACAAAATGAATTTTTTTTAATTCATAATCATGATCTAACTTAAAA